GCGCGTGAGTTTGAAGTTTGATGCGTTGGGTGTGCGGTGTAGTACGCATGGTCGGGACGCCGTGAGACGTATGTTTGGCGGAGGCGGGGCTGAGACTACGATCGTTGTTACGGACTTGGAGGACGCGGATGAGATTGCGCGAGTGAAGAGCGTGCTGGGCTCTGGATGGCGGAACCCGGTGTTTTTGGAGTTTGATCTGGAGCTTTGGGCGAGGAGCGGGACGGAGAGGGTCGGACGGGCTGTGAGGGATGAGAAGTGGATGAGGAGGTTGAATGGGACTTGGGCGAGCGAGGTTGCGAGGGGGTGGGTTATGGCTCGGGCTGGGGCGTCTATACCAGCCAATGACGGCGGTAGAGGGGATGGGGGTTATAGAGAGGAAGATGGAGTGAGAGTTGCAAGTGATATGGGAGCCCCGGAGATGAAGTCACGGATTGCGAAGGCGACGGCGCTGGATGTGGAAGATGGGTTTGTGAGGGAGGCACTTTTGGGTATGCCCAAGGTCAGGTTCGTGAGAGCATATTGTCTTAACGAAGATTATGGTGCTTGCCATTCATAGCAGAGTGGCCTTTACCATCTTTTACTTTGTATATGCCGAGACCTTGCGGCTGTGAGCTCCGCGCCGGCTTCAGTCTCGTCTCCGTCCCGTCAAGCCCACTCGGCCGTCAGTCTTCCCGCTCCAGACGGCTCTCAAGAACCACATATGCATCCTTACCTCGGTACTCTACCTCTCAATAACTGTCTAATATTATAGACGGAATAAAGGAGCAAAGCTTCCAAGTTAAGGCTGCTGTCAAGAGGAGAAGCTTATCCACGAGGCTCTGCTCGTATAACCGTTGCTCCATAGAGGCATTACACCGAAGGCAAGCCGGTACTGTTCAGACTGTAAGCCAAACTCCATTCGTCTGACCTCCAGAATTCAAAATGTGTTGGGTTTTCACGGTCACCATTCATCCGAAGTGCTAGTACTTCCCAGACATAGCTTCCAGCCGGCACAAATGTCCTGTTGTTCTCTGAGCCACCCCAGAACCACGCTGCCGTCATTGGCTCCGCGTCTGTTCCGACGGTGTCGTTGTGGAATGGCGCTTCGCCAGTCTTGGTGTTCACCATAGAATAAGTGACTAGCCTACTCCTTACAACTTGCTGGAAGGCAAATCCGGGATATATGCCATCAGGATAGGCGATGGGGTTCTCGTCGATGCCGACGCTGGCGTTGTAGGTGGCATTGAATATCCTTCCGGGCTCAACATCGATGAATGCGAAGTCCGGCAGCCTGACTCCAATCAGTTTGGTCTGAGTCCGATCAATGATGGGTAAGTTGAGCAGCGATCCTCCATAGCCAGTGTAAGGCACAGTCAGAAGATTCGCCTCAGAAGCTGAGGATTGGACTGCGATGTAACCGCCGAAAAAAGACAGACGACTTGCGGCATCAGACAAGTCAGGTTCGGAGAGGATTGACACTGCCACAGACGCAGATTCACCGCCCTTCAACGTCAGATAGGTGGGAGAAATTGACAGGCTGGCGAAGGCATCACTAATGTTCGGCAGCGAGAAGGCGTAAGGGTTTGCAGGATCGATCACGTAACCTGACCCCGCTGGTAGATGATCCAGCTGGTAAGTGAGCTCCTCAACACCCGTGTTGGCGAGGGTGAAACTTAGGAACGGTGGTCTGTGATCGGTGTCATTGAAAGCAAGATCCGTCACGCTGACCGTCGTGACGCTCCGCACAGCACTCCAGGCATCGACCCTCCCACCTCCTTGCTGCTGAACCGGGGCCTTGATAGCATGAACCATGAAGTTTGGAATACCATCGTTGTAGTCTACAGGACGTGCCGTGGCCACGATAGCATTGCGGATCTGGCGCGGCGACCACTCGGGATGAGCAGACTTCACAAGGGCCGCGACGCCGCCTAGGTACGGGGTTGAGAAGCTCGTTCCGGCCCATACGCCGAGGCCGCCAAGGCGCGCGGGGAACGGCATGGCGACGTACTGTGATGGTCCGAGAACGGCAACGCCCATGTGTGTATCCAAAGCCGGACCCCAAGTTGTCCAGGATGATGGCGTGAGGCCTGTCTGGTTGTTGGGTATGAAGCTGAGGTTCATGTTGGCTGACGATGGATCGCCGGTCAGGGAGAGATCTACGCGGCCGTGTTTTGCGAGCAGCGATATGAGTCTTGAGGCTTCGTCGAAACCGATGTTGACTGCTGCGCGTACGGAAGGGCTTAGATTAGTGCTACCCATTCGAGGGATGCTGAGTGCATGAACGGCGTAGTTGGGGGCGTACCCCATGACATAGGGTATTCCGTACTTGGTGGTGATATCCAAGGACGCGTCATCGGGGTCGCTCCAACATTCGTATCTAGACTGGAGAAGTATCGTGGTTGCTGGGTCCGAGGGCGGTTTTGCGCCGGCTGGAAGAGGTCGGCAAGGAGACACAATATCTTGGGGTCCCTCCAGAGCCGCAGGATCGAAAGCGCCAGGCCACCACAATGTCAGGTTGATCTGGGCGGGCATGTCGAATATTTGCGTATCGGTGGGATCACTCGGGTGATAGTACAATGGACCAGCTTCACCGCCAGCGGTCCAATTCCCTTGCCATGTATACACAGGGACGAGGGAAGTATCGTAGGTACCGATAGCCATGCCGCCGCGACTGGCCGTGGGGGCTCTGATCGAATACAACCCCGGACCGGTGTTACCGGCAACAGTGGTTACAAGAGTGCCGTTGTCGAACATACGCTCTATTAACGCGGGCCAAGGGGCTAGCCTCATAGTCAGCAAGTGAACGCGGTCAATCAGTAGGCAGATGGAGGCGCAACAGTTGCCCGTCTATACAGGACAAGCACCACTTACCTTCAGGATATTCCAACTCGTAGCTGTAAGGAATGGAAATGATGTCCAGATGCCGCTCGTACATGTGAAGGAAGTCATTCACCTGGTCGTCTCCGTTAATGGGGTTGACGCAGTCAGAGTTGGCGATCGCTTCAAAGGTGGCATCCGGTGCGACACCGGTATAGCCCCATAGCGGATCGCCCTTTCCGCCGGCGATGCCGAGATTCCCGGTGCCGTGCGGGTCACAGCTCCCGGCAGAGTCGTTGGCGCCGGTCCGCAAGTTGGTGGTATATGCGATGTTCGTTTCTACCAGGCCAGGTGCGGTCACATCAATCGCGGCATCCATGATGGCAACGCGGACGTTTGCGCCAGTTACATTCTCCTCGTGTAAGCGCAAAACGCCAGTGTCCTCATGCGAAGCCCGGAGAAGCGCGGCCTTGGAGGCGATCCTGGTGCTGTCGACATTGGTTTGCACAAAGCTTCTGCGCTCAAACTTGTCTGTCTCTGGATACTTTTGCTGCCCTGGTGGGAATGGCTGTTGCCTCGATGTTCTTTGGTTTTCGAACAACCCCCCTTCGGAGGGAAGACGCCAAACATTCTGGGCATCAGTGACGACAGCGATGGTATTCAGCGATGGTTGATGGAGTTGAGCTACTCCTTCGCCGCATTTCAGCGAGAAAGAGGCTCCCTGTAGAATGTTGGAGTTGTACTCGCGGAAATCATTGACGGAGCAGTGGAAGCCGTGTTCTTGAAGTCCGTTCTCGATGCTCAATGACACACCTTCGGACTATTGTCATATGTTAGCACCTTCAGTCATGGAATGTCCAACAGCCAAGGTACCGCACGCTCTCCGTCGTAACGCCATATTCAATGACATAGCTACTACGAGGTTTTCCACCTATAGGTAATGGGACAAGTGCAGCGGTGAAGCCTGCAAAGATGAGTCCGAGATGTCGAATGTAGCGCATGATGCGCAAGCGAGTGGATGAGAATTAAGGACTTCGACATTGACGATAGTCTACCATACACATATCTGATAAAGATGCTTAGTGAGGTTTTATATACTAAGGATCTTATAGGTGGGTTTAGGCTTCGCAAAGGTAGCATATCCATCCGAACCGGCCGACGTCAGATTCCTAGGTCGAACTCTAGATAGATTACAATAATCAGGATTCTTGCTCTCCTTCTTAAATCAGCTTGGTACCTCGCGATCTTTTCAAAGTAAGTAGGGATTTGATCCGATACCGAGATTCATGGGCCGATCTTCCCGGCTTGCCTTTACGCCCGCGCTTGCCACGCGTGCCGCGCTCCCGATAGGTGTGAACAGTCAATTTACGCCATGAGAACATTCAACAATTCTTTCCAAACCCCTACGGCTCGGCTATTCTCTCAGTATCGGTGCCGTGTACCGACCACCAGGCAAAGCTTTCTGCTTCGTCAAGTTAGCTATCCCAGCGTAGGTATTCTCCAGACCACAGGGGTTGGCCGATAGAAATGGCATCACAGTGATCGTTGTGGATGATTAGCATGAGCCTACGAGGTCCAGGCATAGCAAACCGCAAGTTACATATCGCCAAATCAGTCGTATCCAAGAGCGTAGGAATCGCCGTCAGGACTAATCAATTGCGCATTTTCTAGCTTGGCCTGATTTAGGTGTTGAACTCTATGGGATTTCGATTAAAGGGAACATATCACACAAGACCACATATGGATGATGCAGTAACTCGGTGGTAGCTCTATGATGCCAACTCATGCAGTATTCTTGGCACGATTCATCGATCTCCATTCTAACACCTTGTAATATTGGGTTGTGGGTGAATGCCGTCTAGTTGACGATGGGTAGGCCAGAGAGATTGAAGCCGACTATGGCGGACCCGGAACTTCTCTCTCCACAACAGAGATTCTGGAAGATCCCAACTATCAATTAACACATGGTAGTCGCATCTCGAAGGCGAATCATGGGCGTAAACTAGGCTCTAAGCTGGACCTCAAGCTAAGGCTCACACTGAGCTGAAAGCATGGCGTCGGTCCTTAGACCGGGTTGTAAGCTTGACCATGAATTCTCTCCACACTCCAATGACGTTCCTCCTGATGTCCTCTGCGTAGAAAGCAACGAACCCCACTGCGATGGAAATTGCGATAGATACTAAAACTGTATCATGTCTTAGCGATCACTTTTCGTATTGGCTCAACTTTAAGCATGAGACTCACATAGTACCAAAAAGGCCCAGTTTGGTGTTTGGAGAAAGGAAGAGACATCCAGGGCAAACAGAGATGAGAGAAACGACAGAGGAAGCTTGATGAACCAATTAGTGAGCGAACAACTTGGGTTTTTGCCCTTGATTGAGGTAACCCACGAAAAGAAGGGTAGCAAAGGTAAAAATCATGAGCACCTTTCCGTGCTGGATTGACAGGACGGCGTTGCGGTTGGCGATTTCGCTTTGTTGAAGAGAGAGCGTCATGTTGATCTTATCACCCATTAGGTAAACTGAATTGCGATTATTAATTAGTACCAACTTACCGCTGATTGTATCCTGTCTGCAACGATATCCAGTTCTTTGATGTTCTTCACCACATAGGCTGCAGAAAGCTCTCCATCCTTTACTGGGTTGGCGGCCAATCTCGTTTGAACAATTTCCTGATACTGCGCAACCGATTTGAGGATGTTCAACTCGTCACGGACATCCTTGATATCATTGGATAGAGTGTACGCCTTGTGGATCGTAGTTTCGATGTCATCGTAGACTAGCAAACCGGTTAGAGCTCTGGATGAGTCCTTGCAGAAGCCACTGGATTGTGAGGATTTACTCCCTGTTTTTGGTCGCGCATGGCGGTGGGAGTTAGACCACCCGTTCTGTTTCCAATTCTGAAAGGCCTCAAAAAGTGCTATTTCATCCCGGCCCTAGCAGCTTGTTAGTGGTTGATTTGATCCTGACTTATGTGTTGATAGAGGGGGCATGATGTACCACTTTGTTCATGTGATTGGAGTAGATTTGACCGATAGATAGTTCTTTTACTGCCAAAGGATCCTTCTGATTGACAGAATGAAAAGTACTGATGGGAAATGTCTTGCTGTCAACGAGCTGCCCTTCAAGTTTGGGGCGCCTATCGTATGAGCCGATGCAGTGTTCAACGATCAATCTGCTCATCTCAACTGCTGACCCTGGTTGAGACTTGCGGCCTCCATATTCTGCTTGTTTGTTCAGCTGGTCAAGCACATCCTGCACTAGTGCGCCATCACTTTCACCAAAAAAGCAAGAATTTGCAGTGATGAGCCACTCTTTGGATCGGTATCGTTAGCAAAATTGTGTCGAAAGCGACGTAACCCTCAACATACTGTTTCCAATGGTCCACATCCATATCTGATTGACCCGTATTAATTCAATTTCACCGGACTGGCTCGAACCCTCAGAGTGTTCCTCATTCTTTTCGTTTTGCCCTGAGCTCTTGCCCCCTTTTGAATAGCGAGTGATAACCTGGCTTTCGTTGCGCTTATCTCTATCTTTTACCGACTCCTGGTCACCTGCAAAATGGTAGTACCACTCATCAAGTGTTGGCGATCTATGAACAATCGACTTCGGATAAGCTGCCAGCAAATTTTGGAACTTCTTTTGGCCCTTGTCCAGATTGACTGAGAAGCAGAGATACGGCATCTAAGATCTCAGATTAGAAGTAATCCCCTCTCATGATGGCAGCTTCGAATACTTACGTAAATTGCCGATGAAATATCAAAATCAGGATTGCTGGTTCCACGACCATTCTCCTTCGACTCGACGCCAAGCTCTTTCGGCTTCCACCCTTGTCTGTCTTCTATTTCAATCTCTTCTAGATGTCTGCAAGCCTTTCTCCGGTCTAATTTCGTGAGGTTTACCTCTGGATTGTTATTGCCTTCGCCTGGGTCTTGTCTCCTGCAGTCCACCTGCTTCGTAGACTGTCTGATTACGGTTCGCGGTCTCATAATTCTCGACTCAGATTTTCCATCTGGAACCTCAATCCAGCTATCTTGGAAAAACGACTTCGCCTCGTAATACTGGCGAGGACAACATTCTTCATCCTTCAAAATCCTGGTAAGAAGGTCCTGTCAAGAGTGAGCTTCAACTTTCCTTCCTTTAATTCTTTTTGGATGGCTTTTCTCAAAATGCCAGAAGCAGTCACTGGGCGTAATGCTTACATTCATCCAATCCATCTATCTCAAATTAGTGATAGTCAATTACGAAATGAAGAAATACTCACATTCGTGGTTGGTAAATGTACCCATGTGAAGTCGCATGCAGGTTCAACCTCGATATAATCTCCATTCAAATTGGCGACGGCTGTTAGCATGGCCTTTTGCATAGTGATCCCGGTCTGCATGATCTCTGCTGGGCCGACCTCGTAGATGACCTCGCTGATTGGTCTCTTGGCTTGAAGTGTTCTGGGAATGCCTTTGACCTCATTAAATTGCACGATGTGAGCTTCGTAGTCTCCCAGTACGCCCTTTAGGGACACCTCGATCTTAGGTTGCGGTATGTTGTAATCCAAGAGCTGCTTGTGGCCTCGTGCAAGGGGAGGGTCACGCAGGATGTCTTTAAGCATCTTCAAATGCTTTGACTTGAAGGTTTCCTGATTCGATACCGGTTTCTTAGTATTTACTTTTTTTTCACCGGCTGACATCAACGTATTCTTCACCACCAGGCCCGTTTTCTGGTGTTCACTACCCCTTGCTCCGGAGGTAACCTCGGAGAAGTAAGTCGCATTTCGTGATTCCTGCGCGAGCGTTTGACGGTCTAGCTTTTCAGAAGCTTTCTTCAAGACTTCTTCAATTTCAGTTGTTCGTTTCAAAGCAGTGATGAGCTGCCAGAGTATTACTAGCGGAGGTTGGTTACTTGCTTCTCTGCTCTGTAGCCTCTTGACTAGCTCTAAGGGCGACGCTAGGATTGACCTCAGCGTATGTTCGATTTGTTCGGTACCAGACGAGCTGGATATCAGAAGCGACAGCAGCTTTGGAAGCTGTCGGTGCGCCGCCCATCCAATTGCGCTCCAGGTCTCATACCCAGCTGGCAATGTTGCATGTTGCGTACTTTTGTACTTCAAAATTAGTCGCACGACGTCGTGTGACATAGAATCGTTTGCAGCCCAATAAAGGGCATTGTCCAGTTCGTCTCCCGTGTCGAACTTGGCAATTTTCATTGGAGATAGCTTGGCAAATGTTTCCATCGCGACAGCTCTTTTTTGTCCCTTGAGTTGGAAAAGGGAGGAGAGTGCAGTTTGTCCTTTTCGATTGCGTATGAAGAAGTCGTCAGGCTTCATCTCTCCGATAATACCATTGAGAATGGACAACTCGCCACAAGCTATGGCGAAATGCAGCGCTGTCTCATTCTCGGCGGTTCGGGCTACGGGTCGAGCTCCATGGGCGAGGAGAAGCTGTATTATAGCGATATATTGAGCAGTTTGGGGCCTCGCTTCGCTCAAGTCTTCTTCCTTTAAGCCAGCCCAGCGAAACAGGCCTAATGACAGCTTGCTTTGAACTTTCTGTAGAGAGTCGATGGCGATATGAAGCGGTGTTCGACCATCTCTATCATAGTTATCTACATTAGCCTTCATGCCCAAGAGTCCGTTGACGACACTCTGATGGCCTTGTCGACTCGCTAGATGTAAGGTGCTCTGCCCATTGTTATCTTTGATTGTCACGTCGACCCCCACATTCAGCAATAACTCGGCAATTTCATGCCGTCCTTCGATGATCGCTACGTGTAAAGCAGTAGCTCCGTCCGCATTTTGAAGATTGAGGTCTGCACGGCGACTGGGGTTACTGCTGTCGTGGTCGAGAAGAGCCTCCACGACATCCTCGTAACCCCAGCTGCTGGCTGCTATCAGAGGTGTTGATTTGGACTCGAAGGTCTGGGCGTTTCGGTTTGCACCGGCATCGATCAACAGCTTCGCACCTTCCAAGAAGCCGTTTATGCTTGCCAATAGGAGCGGCGTCCGCCCAGAATTGTCGCGTATTTCCAGTGGAGACTCGACATCGTCAATCCCCAATCGAGGCTTGAGCAGCTCTTCCATAACATCTGCTTGCTCAGCCTCAGTGGCCGTAAAAAAAGGCGTCGCGCCTTCGCGGTCTTGGACTGCAAGCCTGGCACCAGCCTTGAGAAGGACTCCGATGGCACTGACAAGGCCACGCTTAGCCGCAATGTGAAGGGGTGACACCTTCGTGATGCTATCTTGGACGTTGACTTTGGGAATATCTGCGTTGATTATCTCACGAAGCGTCTTGAGGTCGGCCATGGCTTCGGGGCTCGCCATTGTCTGGAGGTGCTGGCTCAAGGGTGACTGCAGTTGATCAGTCGCGCCTCCAGGGTTGCTCTTGGAGTCCGAAAGTTGGCCATCGATTGAGTTTCCGGGTTCTTGGACGCCACCAGGTTCACCGACGGTCGAACGAGCTGCCTCGCGAAGTTCTGCGCCTACTGCTTCGACAGTAAGGCTAGCTTCGGACATAACGACGGTAAGCGATGATCGAGATGCGCGAAAATGGCGAGTTCGATGCAAATTATCGGTAGAAGGATGCCAACAGATTTATCTCAAGAGATCCGATTTCCAACACGAGCTCGGACTGAGATTGAAAATGAGGTGTCGAAGAGAAAATATGTTGAGGCCCCCGGGAATGCCAGAAACCAAGAAAGTATTGTTTTTCCACAACAGGTCACTCTCCATTCTCGCTCTCTTTCAAGAATTAGGCGCATGTCAAGCCGTCTTATATAAGCAAAAGCTGTTTATGCCCAGCATGACTTCGATTTGAGATTGATGTTACCCAGCATGTGATATGACTTATCACTGCAGCTTTCGTGTGGGCCTCGCATGAGTAGTTCCTTGCGTCTTGATGCAAGAAGTTAAATCCCAAGTTTTGCCGACTGCTGGGGTCCACCGCCTATTCAGTCATCTCCCAAGATACTGATAGGTACTTCTCACGGATGGGCTGAAACAACCTGGAAAGATGTTGGCGCAGGGCGAGCTCTGTTGTAGGTCTGTTGTACCACTGCGGTATTACCCCAAGCAGGCACGGCGGTAAGTTCGTGACTGTTCGGAGACAACTAAGAAAACCAGCCCTAAGACATCTGGTTGCCTCACTTCAATTGGTTCCAATCTTGACTGACGTGAGATATGACCTGACCGAATGCACGAGGCCTTCAGCCCCGACGCAAATCTGCCTAGCACTTTCTTTTTTAGGGATCAAGTGCATGCTGTCCAGCTTTGATTGTTGGCTCGCTACCTAGCCGCCGTCCGCGAACTTTGCCCGGCAGCCACTCCCCGGACTTTCGGCCTCCCTCGTTCTCCTCTCAATGCGCCGCGAGATCTTCGCACGCCAGTTGCGGATGCAGACAAGCCAAGCCAAGACCCCTCATCATCCCGCTCTCCTTGAATTGGCTAACAAAACACTTAATCAATGTCTTGTGGTGCCCCAAAGGCGGGCCACTGACGTGACATTGTCCAACGCGGTTCCACTCCAATGCCTCTGACATCTTCTCATTGGCAAGTCTCACTGTCGAGCTGACAGCCATGTACGGCGTGCTCCTCGATAGGATACTATGTCAACGTTGCGGAGGGCTGAGAATGTGGCGGCAGTAGTGACCCGATTTGTGTTCTCGTGACGGCGGAAAACCCGCCTCCTCCAGGGAGTTGGTCTGCGGGTGTTGCACTCGCAATAGGGTATTGTGTGAATCTGCTTCATCATCCGCGTGTACAAAGATAGTCAGGTTTCGTTGCGTTCCTGGTCCAGTGCGACTATTTGCTCCCCATTTCAGTCGATTTCTCCTAAATGCCATGTAGGGGATATGGAGTGAGATAGGGGCAAAGAAGAGCTCAGTAGCAATCCTCAGTGCGACGGCTCTATCCTTTACCGATTCTCCATTCGCCAGACAGCTGAAACTCTCCGATATTTCGGTGATCATCCGCAAAGACCCCGGCTCGAATGCCCTCTCGTGCCTGAACCAATACGTCGCCAGGAGGAGTCTCTTTTTCTCTGGGTGTACGACCCCAGACTGGGCGATGTTGTTCATGATCCTAGGCGAGAGCCAGTGCTCGGCTGTCGCCGTAAGGGTAAGAGCACAGCCGTACTTTGCTGCCAGAATGGCTACTGCCAAAATCAGCCTTGGGGAGGATTCTCTCATCTCTGACTTCAGGCTGTTGCCATGGGGGGTGTGGCACATGATGTCCATAGCCTTGAGATCGTCTTCTCGGGGGTGGGGGGGCGTGAGGGGTTTGACAATAAGGCATCATCGCTGCAGTTTGCTTTTGGTATCTTTGAGGCAAAAATGGGAGAGCCATTGGATGGGATGAGAGAGTAGACGCGGAGCTCATTCCTAGACGGGCCGGCGATGAGGATGAGATCGCCTTTTGGTACCGGCGTAGTACTCGTCGGTGCGAAGGCTGTTCCATCTCTCAATAGCCATAGTGATGCCTGACCTCATCTCGCTCCCACTTTTGCCTTCAACACTGCAGTGACAGACAATGCGCTGGTCTGAAAGGACTCTCCAAGAAGGGGATATCACGAGTTTGAAACTCTTGGCTTGAGCGAGGTTGCCAAGTGGTTAACAAGATAGGATGATGTTCAACAGTAGACTACGATGCCTACTTGCCTACTTAATTATTGTTCCTAACTTTCTGATTCTTTTGATACTATCCAAGTTTGTACTATCTTTGCTGTTTCTATGCTTCATCATCCTGCAATTTAGTATTCTAATGAATAGTTTCAGTGTGCTTTGGTAATCTCAAACGTTATCACAATTCCGTAGATGAGATCACCATGTAGGAGAACTTGCTGGTGTCAAGAACTGCATCAATGTTGCCTTTGAGTTCGGGCAACTCTTGGCTAAAAAGACGACTCCGATACTTATTGAAAGCCAGTATCTCAATAACCGCCTTGATTTCTGTGACTCAATACGCCTCATAAATAGTCCGCATAGCTCGATGATGACTCGATGAATTGAAAAGATTGGGCACATCACCAGGTGTGATGATGAGTTGAGTGGTGAGGTGAGGTGAGGTGAGGTGAGGTGAGGTGAGCGGACGGTAGTTGACACTGTGTTTTCATGGCAGAGACACTAGGACCCAAGGTTTTGGGCGGATCTCTCCGCCCCGTCCCTGCCGCAAGTCCCGCTGCAGAAATCGGCCCCGCATGGGGCACAGTGCGCAGGCTTCCGAGACTCGTATCTTTCTTTCTCTGGTTCACTTTCTTTTTTCACTTCACGTCTCATTCCACTTCAACTTGAATCACTTCACTCCCGAAAGGAAACACCACACTCGTTTCGTCGTCATGGTGCGCACAAGGCCCCGCAACAAGACCAAACGCGTCGCCATCATAGACTACGGCTCAGACGGTGAGCCGCCAGAAGAAGCCCACGATGACCCAGAAGACGAAAATTTCGAGGCGCCGCCGCCGGACCCGGAAGACGATGATGAGGACGACCGAATGGACGTCGACGGGGGCGACGATGATTTCGAGGCAGAAGATCCATCCAACCTAGCCATTGATGACGGGTCACGCAGAAGAGGCAATGACAGTGACGAGGAGCGGCCCGCCTACACCAGCTCCGCCGGGATCAAGAAACGCCCGACGGATATGACCGCCCTCGACACCTACCACGCCGACGGCCGGCCTACGCGCTACTACACCGGCGAACTCAAGCGTGGTCAGCGGATTCAAGTGCTGGACTTCTTTTACGGGCCCGAGGCGGAGGCTGTTGGCGTCGCGAGTTGGTTGCTGAATCGGTGGGCTGGGTATGCGGTGCTGCCGAGTAAGTTGCCCGATGGGCCTGCTCACCCGGTGCCGAGTCCGTGGCTCGGGGAAGGGTTCAATGAAGACCAGCAACGCGCTGCGAAGGGCTGGTTCGAGAGGCTAAAAGGCACCAAGGGGATTGTCGAGGCCGAGAGGGAGATGGGGGCGATAGAAGCGGAGGGGTACCGGTTGAACCCGGGCGGTCACTTGGTCACTGTGATCGGGCCTTATCAGAACCAGCAAGAAGTCGAGATTCCGCCGTACGATAGCGTAGTGCTTGGCGAGATGGGGCAAGTCCTGACGAAAGACGCCGGCGACGAGCAGAAGTCTTCTGGATGGATGTTCGATGTGGGTGGCATGGTTATCGGAATGGAATGGGCCCCAAGAACAGAGGGGGAATCGCAGATTCTCTCCCTCGCCGTGGTCCCGCCGACGGACCACCAAATGGGCCTCGAGGACGCTTACAATGAGAAAAAGGGTATCGTGCAGCTGTGGGAGCTTCGCGGGCAGAAGGACGGCGACGGCGTCTCAAGACCTGCCGCACGCCCTGCGCGACTTGCCAGGACGCTGTGCGTCGACTGGGGTAGGGTGAAGCGGCTCAAGTGGTGCCCTGTACCCTTCAGGGAGGACGGCTCTTTAGGCTTACTTGCACTGCTTTGCGGCGACGGGCAGGTTCACGTCGTCTCGGTCAAGGAAATCGGCGACCGAGAAGAGGACGCATTCAGTAAGACCATGTACTTCCCTGCCTCTTGTGTTCTTTACACTGACTAATTCCACAGCAAAACTCGAAAACTCTGTCGTATCCCTCGGCGTCTCCTCAGAAACCAACGTGACAGCAAGTTGCTTCGCCTGGGTCAATACAAACCGCATCGTTCTAGGCCACTCAGACGGCTCCCTGACCCTCTGGTCCATCTCCCCGCGCATCTGCCTCGCCCGCCACGACGTCCACTCAACCTACGTGATGCACCTCGATACGGCGTACCCCTCGGACCCGTACCTCGTCGCCTCGACCCCGATCGCAGGCTACACCACCCTCGTAGACCTCTCCGACCCCTCGTGCGAGCGGACAAGCTTCCCCTGCTTCGCCATCACGCCGCAGCCGAACCTTATGCAATGGAGTGACCACCTACGCGGCTTCTTCACCGCCGTGCCGTCCGCGAACCCGCTCAACGCCTCTGTCGGGTTCGTCCACGCGCGGTGGTACGCCGCGCAGGTGCGGAAAGTCATGGACGGGGACCGGCTGCCGACGTGTCTCGCTGTCGGCGCGCAGCATCCGTTTGTGCTGGTGGGGTATACCGACGGAACGGTGTGGGCTGCGAACCCGTCGAATCGTATCTTTGCTTCGAAGCATCATTTCGGGCACAAGATGAAGGTTCTCGACCACCAGCACATACCACGCGAGAGGCTCGACGCGGAGGTGGTGAACGGGCACGAGGGCGGGAACACAGCGGACCGGTGCCGTGGCGCGTCGAGGATATTGCAGGGGTTCCGGCCGGTGCCGAATGTGAATCCTAAGGTGGACACGTGGAAGACCAAGGTTGCGATCAACAAGAAGAAGGATAAGAAGGGTAAAGCCAAGGCTAAGGGTAAGGGTAAGGCAAAGGGGAAGAAAGGCGCTGCGGCGGCGGCGGCGGAGGCTGGAGAGGAGGACGATGCCGATGTACAAGGCGGTCAGGAGGAGGTTGATGGGCACTTTGCTGATCCCGAGCGGGCCGTGATTTCGGAGCCGTTGACGCGGATCACAACGATGGCGTGGAATCCGAACATGGAGTACTCGTGCTGGGCGGCTATTGCAATGGCGTCTGGCCTGGTGAGGGTCATTGATTTGGGATTGGAATGCTAGAGAGAGACCCCCCAAGCATAGAGTAACATAGGTGAAATAGGCAAGAAGTATGAATGATACCCTCTATTATCAACCTTCTATACAGTAAAAAACATCATGTATCCGAGACTCATGAACCTCATTACACCATCTACCACCATCTCCAAACCCCTCTGATCAGAAACACTTGCCCCCTGTAACAGTATGATGATAATCAAAAGCCTTAGCCATGCCATACAAATGCGTCACGGCGGCCATTACCACAAAAAAGTGAAAAATCTGGTGCGAGCTGCCCCAGATGTCAAACGTCCGCGGGAACGAGCGCTCCGGCCAGCGGAAGGCGTACAGAAACGCGCCAAAGATGTACATGAGGCCGTGCAGGACGACCCAGCTGAGGCTCATGCGGTCCTCCATCTCCTGGCGGCCGTAAATTGTCAGGCCGTGGAGGACGGGGACGACGCCGGAGGTGCCGAGGGCGGTGAACATGCAGGCGCGGAAGGTGCGCCATTCTGGGGCGCGGAAGAATTCGATCCAGGAGACTGCGCCGCAGCCTAGGCCTAGGAGGCAGATCTTGGGAGGTTGTGTTAGTGAGATTTGGTGTCTGGGTCGGTTTATATCATGAGGGATGAGTGAGAGATGAGGGATGAGTGAGTGAGTGGGACATACCGTTGTGAGGTAAAACTTGAGCAACGCAGGATGGCAATAAAAGCCGTAATACATGGCCGGCACATAACTGCCCACAATAAGAAACACAATCCCCGAATAATCCAGCTTATTCCCCCACTTTGCGACCTCGGGCGAATGATTGCTCATGGCGTGGTACGTGGCACTCATGCCCAAACACGCAACGGCGCCGGCGAAAAAGCACCCAAAGACAATCATGTCGGCATCGCTCGCCGACTCGTAGCGCGGCGCGATAACGGCATGCAGGACCGCGCCGGTAATCACGAAGGCGACGGCGCCGAGGAGGTGGGACCAGATGTTGACGGACTCGTTGTGCAGGTACCCCAAAGAGCGGAAGGAGGCGCGGTACGAGTTGGAGTCGGGGCGGTAGCCCGTGAGGATGAATTGGTTGTCGCGGCGCCAGGCGGGGAGGTCGTCCCAGAGGACGAGGAGGGCCTTTTCGACTTTGCGTTCGAGGGCGGCGGCGGAGGATTCTACTGTTGAGAGGAGGGTTGTGGTGTCGTGGGAGGAGCGCCGGCGGTTTCTGAGGCCGGCTGTGCCGTCGGCTGTTTCTGGAGCTGTCATCTTGGTGGTTTATTTTTTAGGTAGATGGTATCTTCTGGTGTTGTTCTTGTTTATATGCGTCGCGGCTCACGAGAGAAAAGGATGTCTATAATAGCATGTGGTGTGGCTCTCTATGAAGCATTTAAAGGACGTTGAGATATCACGGGCGCGCACGTTCAACAAAGGCACATAAGGTAAGGTGCTGCAACTGCGATGACGGATTGACGCCTAGCGCCGGGTGTGCGGCGGCGGGTCAGGCCAGGGGTAGCTACGTAAAAGGGAGGGCCCTGATTTATTGGGATGGGAATTGTTGGGATTTCCTCTTTTTTTCTGCTGGCATCTGCATTTCCACATGCTTGAAGATTTTCCTTAGCAGCAACAGCAGACGGCACCAAATCATGTGTTTTTCTCTCGGTCCGCACCGAACGGATCCGAGGCCGTTGTTGTCACAAGTGCCGCCAGCTGGAGCCGGGCGAAGAATGCGCTGAACGGTCGGCCCGTCGGTCAGACTGGACCATCCGCCGGGAAGAGAGCGGGCATCAGGTGAGACATTTGGACATTTGCCTTACATAAGGTAAATGTGCCTCCAAAGTTCGAGGTCAGCATGTGCTGCAGGATAGCCAGACGTGAGCATCGACTGTGAAACGGGCACTGGATGGAGAAGAGAGGGCCGGTGGGTTCTGTGGGAGGTGACTCTCGAGCGCAAATCTTTGCTAGGAGTAGCAAAAGACGACGAATACCCGCGGGCGTATTTCCACTGTTTAAAGCCCCCCGCCTGTTCCAGTTTTTGGACGTTGCACTGCAATTGCAAGAACGAAGACCCTGAGTCCGATTTTTGTGTCTCGAGTCAACACAATTGCAGGCTGACACTTTAAAGACCTCAGAGCATGAAAAACAACAGTCAAGGTATCCGGCATCATCCATGTCGATTTTGTCAAAGATCGAGAACTCTTTTGATATCATTTCATTGCATGCTCGTTGTAGGTATGTAAAAGAAAAAGCGCTCCTCCGTGGTCCCGGCCTTTGGTAAATCGGGCACCGTTCTTGTTGTGTGCGCGCGGTCGTCGACTTCTGGTTATTTCGCAATCCCGCCCATCCAGCAGCCGGTTTATTTCTTGCCGCTCTTTTTGATGCCCTGGGTACCGGTGTTGAGAGGTCCCTTTCCGCCGGCCTTGGCGGCCATCTCCTTGCGAGCCTTCTCCTCTGTTATCGTACATTAGTCTCCATCTGCAAAGAAACTTGAGACGGGAGAGGGAATGTAGCATCCGTCCCGTCAGTATATGTGCGGGACCTACCGGCGCGCTTCTTCTCGAGGAAAGCGAGGTCGTCCTCGTCCATGTCCTTCTGGGCCTTCTTCGCGGCCTTAAGAGGCTTGGCCTTGCCACCTGTTGTTGTGAGGAAATCATTGTCAGCAACGCAGGGACTGAGTCGGAAAAGGCTGGGTTGTCCCATTTTATGCGACGGCAGATTGCTTACCTTCACGGCTTGCACCACCCATTTTTGCGAGGTTGTCGAGGAAGAAACTGGGTTGAAGATCGGCTTTGGACGAGGAAGAGCGGTGGACAGTCAGGCGAAGAGGCAGAATCTGGAGTCGCAAATGTTGCACAGTCGTAGAGTCGAAAGGAGAAGAGGAAGCGCGGCGCAGCGAGGCGGGCGGACGTGGGGTGAAAATTGCCCCTCCTCGACGAATCGGTCAAGGGTCCCCGTTTATAAAGATTTCTTATGGTTTATTCCTTTCAGAGAGTAATATGCAGTTATATACTATATGCAGGTGACCCAGTGTAGTGGAGCCGGGACATCCACGGAACATTCCAAGCTCGACGTCGGTGTGGTCGGCTGTGTTCCGTGCCACCTTGATTTCTCCGGCGCGGCGCCAGTGTCTCGTCACCACCAAAAATCACCACCTGTCGACCCTTGATCGCTGGAAGGCACCGAGTCGTCTCGACACAAACAACACTGCTCTTCCTTGGCATTGCATTACGACACTTGATCCTCCTTCCCCCCCCTCTTTTAATTGCCCTCTGGTTTTCTAGTGTCGCCTTTGCTTCCTTCTTTCTCCCCATGAGCTGAGTCGACACAGTCATCCGGTTCGCAAACAATTCCTGCCGCACATCAATCTTCTGGTGATCTCTGCTGACACGTCGCTGCTGCTTCTTGCGCGCCAAAAGACCTAGGGGATTCCTTCCTCTGGCGGATCACTGCTGCAAAACATACCTTACACAAAGAACGTGCTTGTTGGCACACGTTCGAGACTATAGCTCAAGAGCACCGCACTTGCTGTCGCATCGCATTGCAAACATGGCGTCGAGTTCCGACGAGGGCGAGATCATGGAGAATGACGCCGTGGATTTGAAGGCAACTTCACTGCCGAAGAAGTTTGAAGGAAACGGTGTTGACCGTCAAGACAGAACTCGAGATAGACGCTCGGCCTCCAACTCCCCCGAGTACGACAGTTCCTCCAGAAACAACTACCACTTTTCGAGACGCAGCCGTTCCCCCCCGCCGCCCCGCGGCTTTAAGCGCGCCCGTGACGAGCGTGACTACGCTGGTGGAGGACGACAGGAAACCCGCCGCTTCCGCGTGCATTACGAAGACGGCGCAAGGGATGACTACCGCCGCTCACGCGTATCGTACGAGGACCTAGACCGCCCGCCGTCCCACGGCTCGAACACCAGCTACGACGGTCGCGACAGGAACCGCAGCCGCGAGAGAGACGTATACAGAGACAGGGACAGGGAGCGCGATCGCGAGAGGGACCGATACCCGGATAAGAGACAGCGTAACCGTACCAGGTCGCCTTACCAGCCCCCGCGCGGTGAGCGAGGAGGTCGCGATGATCACTACGCCAGAGACGGCGGGCGCGATCGTCTCACCGATTCGTTCCGCGGCTTAAAGTACGATGACAACAGGGACCGAAACGCCCGAAACGGAGGCGCGGCGCCGAACGGGGTCGCTGTAGGAATGGATTCGCGCGCTTCCAGACAAGATGCTAAACCTGTGAAAGACTCTGCAGACCGTGAAAATTCTGCGGCTTCTCGCTCTCGGGGCCAGGCGTCCGTCTCCCCTCCTCCCTCCAAGAGGACTCGGTTCCTGCTAACGCCCGACGATAGCGCTCCGCAGGTGGTGGAACCTGATCATAGCTACGATGAGCCCGAGGAGCCGATGGTTATTGACGAGGAAGCTGAGATCGAACGCAGGCGACGACGCCGTGATGAGCTACTCGCAAAGTCTAGTTCAGCTACTCCACTGCTTATTCACGCATTGCATGCGACTGACAAGTTGGCGATTCCATCACCAGCCCGGGAAAGCACTCCAACAGCGGATATCGGTACCCCAGGCACAGGTGAGCATCTTGTCCTCCAAAGTTTGACAGGTGCTAAGTTCGCAGACATTGCCTCACCAGCCCGAGACGGAAGTTCGCCTGGCGCTATTGACATTGTGAATGAGAGTGACCTCATGAACACTCATGGCGGTGGCGACGCAACGGAAGAGGACGGCCCCTCAGCTGCAGATTACGATCCCACGGCCGACATGAAGGAGGACGAGAGGCGCGATGAACTGCGACACGGCAACGTGGGCGTTCATGGCGAAGCTCCTGACATAAAGAACGAGACGCAGCCACACGATCAACCTCAGGAAGCCCCCGCGAAGAAGTCATCAGAAGACGACGACGACGATGACGATTTCGACATGTTTGCTGAAGACTTCGATGATGAAAAGTACGCCGCACCTAACCCCGTCAAGGTAGCTGTGGTGGACGAGTCCAAGGCCTCGCCCGCTCTTGCGCCGACAAACGGAGCCATTCTCGAGGGCGACGACAAGGACGGTTATTACAAGCTTCGCATTGGCGAGATCCTCAACGGCCGTTATCAAGTCCAGTCGGCTTTGGGCAAGGGTATGTTTTCCGGCGTTGCGCGGGCCATCGACATTACGAACAAGAAACTGGTCGCTGTCAAGATTATGAGAAACAACGATGCGCTGAGGAAGGGAGGTTTCACCGAGATTGCCATTCTGCAAAAGCTCAACGACGCCGATCCAGAAAATCGCAAGCACATTGTCAAGTTTGAACGGCATTTCGACCACAAGGGCCACCTGTGCATGGCGTTTGAGAACCTGAGTCTTAACCTGCGCGAAGTGCTCAAGAAATTCGGCAACAATGTCGGTATCAACTTGAGTGCTACGCGAGCATACGCCCATCAAATCTTCATTGGCCTTGCTCACATGCGCAAATGCAGTGTCATCCATGCAGATTTGAAGCCTGACAATATCTTAGTGAGTACTGCCAATGTTGGCTGTTGGACAAAGAACTCAACTAACCGTCCGTAGGTCAACGAGAGCCGAAATGTGCTCAAAATCTGTGACTTGGGAACCGGCATCGACAAGTCTGATGCAGCCACAGCGCACAACGAGATCACCCCGTACCTAGTCAGTCGCTTCTACAGAGCACCAGAGATCATTCTCGGTATGCCCTACGATTACTCCATCGACATGTGGTCCATCGGTGCCACCTTGTACGAGCTGTACACGGGCAAAATCCTCTTCGCGGGCGACAGCAACAATCAGATGCTCAAGGCCATCATGGAGATCCGTGGCAAGATCACGCCAAAGCTCTACAAACGGGGTCAACTCTCGGCGATGCACTTTGATGAAATGGGCAACTTTGTCAGCATGGAGCGGGACAAGGCGCTTGGAAAGGTACGTTATTGGTTCGTGGTCTCGGTGTTTGTTGTTTTGCTTGCATCTGTCTTTCACCCCTCTTCCCCATATCTCAACGCCTCTGCATTCTGCCTCGTTTCAAAACTTGACCCATGACCCAATCATCCCTCAGAGTTGCTATTTTGGCCGACGGGGTCCCGAGATGGGCCTAGTGGAGGCGGAGTGCGGCTGTAAGCGCTGAGGCGCGGCTGCACATGCGTACGCACGTATCCACCCTCCCACAGCTATGCGGGCCGTCCGTCAGTCAAGGCCGAGCGCGTGCCCCGGAACGCTCGTGTCGCGATGCCGCCCAGCTGACGGGCTGGTCGTCGTCGACATTGGACCAGTCACGATACTGTTGGAAGCAAACACTCCGGGCTGTTCGGACTCGCATGACTTGCTGGGGTGGAATGGTACCCCAGTATGGAAGGCCCGCGAACGAATCCTCCCATCTACGGAGGATGAGCTGTCTCAGGGACTGTTTGTCACGGCCGCATCATCATCTCAACTTCGCTCCATATCTAGTTTCCCCTACATGCCCCTGCTTTTTTTGCCTCTCCGCCACCCCTTGTGTCCTGCACAAAGGGTCCAACGTGTCGGGTCGATTTGTCAAAGTTGACAGGAAATGTTTCCCCCGACCGGAGGGTCCCTCCGCAGCAAGCCTATCCCGGTAGGCCCCTGCTACGCCATTGCATCACTACCTTGTTTTGTCGATGGGCCGATGATGGGCCCTTTTGTTTGAAAATAGTAGTAGAAAAGTTCAGCTGGTCGCTAACCAACATCCTCACACAGACAACCGCCAGGGTCCTGCCCGTCGTCAAACCAACGCGTGATCTGCGCACCCGCCTCTTTGCCGCGTCAGCGGGTATGAACGACGCCGAGACGAGGGACCTGAACCATTTTGTCGACCTGCTCGAGCACTGCTTGACGCTTAACCCGGAGAAGAGGATCAAGCCCGCCGACGCGCTGAGGCATCCCTTCTTTATTGCGAAGGCCGCCGCGCCTGTGAAGAGATGAGGGGCGTGGCGAGTAGTCCCATGTTGGGAAGACGCCGTTGGGTGTGTTTGTAGGATGATGACAGGGGTGTTGTTGTCCCTTGAGGCCACTGCTCTGATTCTAGGGGCACCCTGATCAACCTTGGTCGACAACCATAGCTAGGCAGTGTGGCGTATAGATGTTTGTATGAGGATAAGGGAGGCACAACTCTTACTGCGAAGCGCCTCTTTAGACACAAACAAAAGCATTAGATGAAATGGAGACTACATTGCGTTATGACATGATATGATCACTTCAGATCCGCAGAGTGCCATTTTGCGGAAAAGCCTCGGTATTGGCTTCAGGTACCTTTAGCAACAATGTGCCTAACCTTGAGTGATATTCATCATGGAGTCGGTTGAATATCCACACAGCGCATCCTTCATTCTCATCGCGAGGAAACGTGGCGGGACTGAAGGGAAGTTGCTGTAGTACTAGCTCAAGAGGCCTGATGCTCTTCCGCTTCCTATCCGAGCATCATGTCCACGTACCTCTAGCCTATGCCTCTCTCTCTCTCTCTCTCTCTCTCTCTCTCACCGACCTTGCGAAGTATGGAGCGGGAGAACCAACACATTCATGGGTGAATACTTGAATTCCTGGTTCTTTCCTGATTTTTATGTTTCGGTTCCCGTGTCTATCCGTGCTCGTAACAAGGCTTGAGGTATCTAAAGAGACTGGACCCTGATAGACCCGTTTACTATGGTAAACCTTTGTTGAGAATGGATGAAAAGGGTCGAAGATGCGAGCCAGTTGGCAGATCTGTCATAGTGGAGCGAGGATCCAAGGGCTCGCGGGGATCGAGATATGGAGTCGAGAGGCTCCAAGGGAAAAAGGGGTTAGGGGTTCAGGAGGTCAAGGGTTCGAGTATCTAGAGGAAGTATGTCAAAGACATGAATAGCACAGAGGCTCTCATCTAATCTCCAGCGTTCGGGTAAACCACTCTCTCCGTCCGTGAGGTTCGAGTATCCGGGGCATACGCCGTCAGTGTCCCACCCCAGGTGCGGAATGGAGATGTCACGTCATGTCATGTCAAATCTTTGATGGGAACTTTTTCCCCCCGTGCAAAAGGATTGTTTATCACGCGGCGGGGTTCGAGAAATCCGAGCCCGTGATGCTGTTCTCCCCTTCTGTTTTGTTTTGGGCTATAGCGCATTGTCTTGAGCTGTACATCTTGGGAGGACAAGGGAGGATTGGGACTCCTTTGAGAGACTGAGATATGAGCTTGAGTCCGGGTGGGTAGGAGCGAGTGTGAGCAGGAGCATGGCGTGTGGGTTTCGATAAATGAGTTAGATGGGATCTCCTTTCGGGGCCAAGTGAGCAAGTTAGGCAGAGGGGCTAAAAGGAGTAACACCTTGGAGGGTCCAGTGTCCAGCTTAACGGAGGCCGAGGCGCCTCTCTCTCTCTCGCCAGCGATTACTTGAGATATGGCGTAGCTACTTGTTCTTGATTCCAGAGCCTAGTTGTGTCATACACAGACTCCAATTTCTCCGGGAAGCATTTCCAACATCTCAGTAGGTGTCACCACAAGTCTGATGACCGCATGAGATGACTTTTTAAGGAATAGATATCTAGATGACCTGGGGTCAAGAACCATAAGTGTACAAAGTTGCCGTCTCTTACTACCTTCTACAGGGCAATGAAATGATTTGTTTCTTTGGGTGTATCGCATCTTCGTGACTGGAGACTGGCCTAGCCCACACACGCGACGCGAGGCTGAGATGCCTCGTACCGCTTGTGGAGAGTTGCGGCAATGATAATTACATCAACAACGTTGAAAACGTTCCAACGAGGGTGAGTCCACGTGATGCAGTGAGAAAATACCGTTGGCGATATGACGCTTCACACTAAAGCATCACAAGGCTATATTCGCCATGAGTCCAACCATAGTAAACATTTGGGAAAAGACCATTATATCTAGGTTCACAAAATAAATCACTGGCCTTCAACCCTCATAGAGTACAACTTCAAACGCTAGAAAAATGAGCAATCTTAGTTTCTCATTCATTTTGAGAAATCGTAACACGGAAAGCCAGCTCATTTGTAGTCAGTCTCACTGGGCAAATAACCAAGTCTCATCCAGAGACGAAATGAGAAAAGTGTCGCGAGGCAGAAATTCGGTAGCCAGCAGCTCGCGCGGCATCACACACCAAAGCAACCACCCCGAGAACAAAACCACTCGTCTTCTACGACATGAAGGCTTTGTCAGGGCCGGGCCGGATCCTGTGTGAATACACAGCTGCACACCGAACGGGTAACGCGCTCTCTGCCAATCGCGATATCAAAACATCCAGCCTTGCGGCCCCATGTAAACCACAATCGGCACCCTCACATCAATTCACACGCTATAAAAACCTCGACTGCATGAAATTAAATAAATCAAACCGTAAAAAATACGTCTAAACCCAGTCTGACTCATCCAGCGCTCGTTGTCACCGGAGGAAAGAGCCAACAAAGTCGTCGCTACCTGGCCCCGACCCACAGCCTTAGTACAGGAACCGCCCGTGCCTGGAGGCCACATACCTCAAAACGCAAGGCTACGCCCAGCCACCATGTGCATCACGGCATGGATCCAGGCAGAGTAGCCAACGTGGGAAACGCGGAAGGCAAAGCAAAATCCATACGCGCGCGCGAGAGAGACGCCGGCAGAGATGTCACGAGCGGCTTCCTTGCTAGCCAGACTGGTAGGACACCCGTCTACTGGCGTTGGCTTGTACCCATTCACTCGTTGAGCGCATCCGAATTGATCCTTCCGCTGCTGGTGGCAGCAGAATAACATTGAGGCAATAACTCTACATCTTAAGCTACGTGCATGTTTGCCGCCCATAGAGAAGGATGGAGGCACAGTCTCATATGCATCGCTCCCGAACCACTAGACCTCGCGGCCCCCGCCTGTCGTGCAAGCAGCTGACGGGCACCCTCGAAATTGGCCTTTCAGGTGAATCTCAGGTGAGCAGCAGCAGCAGCAGCGGGGGCGGGCGACAACGGGCGTTGGGGATCCTTCTGGCACAGCGCCGTCTCGAGGTTGCACAGCATCAATGACGGCTGCTGGAGCCTGGGAAAGAAAACTCATACACTTTCTTGGAAGACGAGGCGTGGCACCTTCCAACAGATGTTGCGGCGACCGCGGCTGCGTGCTTATGGCCGACCGCAGCGGGCATCAGTGGAATATAGCACGAGACGGCAACACGGGATCCCCTCCAAGTACCTCATGTGCGGAGAGAGACGAGAGGCCTTGGCTGAGTTTGGTTGCTGAACAAAGTCACGTAGGGCATATCCCGTTCGACGGAAAGCCCGTAGTCTGGAGGCAGAATGCGGGATCCCGGTGGCTGGTATCCCCATGCACCAGCAGGATTGACCTGCCTTACCAAGTACCGAAGAGGTTGGACCAAAGGGCACAGGTATGTGAGGCGAGCGAGGGAAGAAAGGGAGAGAAGTGAGAGATTATCACGATGCCGTCGTTGCACGGCGCCGGGAAGCGGCAAGTCATGGATATACGTTGTTGCTTTGATGCGGCCAACCGGCGGGTACTCGCACTGCCTAGTCGTGGACGCTGGATGGTGCGTAACGGCGTCGGCCGTGTCCCCCCCGTGGTGCCCCCCGGTAGTGCCGAACGGAGATGGCGGGGGCCTCAATCAATGAGGCGGGGTAGAGCAAAGGGAGAGCCGGGGACGGGGGCCCTACCATGGGGACTAACAGCCCTGCTGTGACCTGCCGCCCTGTATCCGTGAGGGATAATGTGAGTGGCAGAGTGGTGCATCCGTATACCTACCCTGCTGTGAGTACGGAGTATATCCGTAAGGCACTGATCAACGGCGTCGACGTCGCAGGGTCTCCCGTTCGAAAGACGTCCGCTTCGCTAGGGCTGTCATCGCCCGCTGATTAACCATGAACCAAGGACCGTTGGGCCAGCCAAGAAAACTCTCTCGATAACTTTTCCAATGATCGTCTTCAGGCGTTGGTTGGTTGGTTGGACATGTGTCGGGCACCCATCTTTGCTGCTCCATTCCCTGAATGCCTCACAGGCTTGCCCCCTGGGCCATGCTCTCATCATCGTCGTCGTTCGACTCGCCGTGTTGGCACGTAACTGGTCGAGGTGGAATTAGGTTCGACACCCGGCGGAGAGAAAGAACAAGAACAACATTCAATGCCACCCCGGACGTTGCATGATTGATCGACCCCTCCGAGACGGACCCTGAAATCCTCCACAGTAGTAGGAGTGTAGGACCAACCTGTTTAGTGGCATACCTTCGTTGGCAGGGTTGGTCAAAATCTCTGGTTATCCAAGAAAAGAATGTGCGTACCGCAGATCGGCCATCCGAGGCTTGCTGGTGCTGCATTCTTTCGCGCGCATTGAGCAGATCGAGTCGATCACCAAAGGGGGGGGGGGGGGCGGCATTCTCCTGAAAGCTGACGGGCTGAGGGGTTGACGCCCGCCGGCCGTTTGGCTTATTGAGCCGCGGCGCACCGTTGGGACGGTCGTCTAGATTGGTTGTTGGACCCTGAAGCATCGAGCCCTTCTAGTGGAATGCCGTCACGTCGTTTGGCTTGTCTCGCCTCGGGAGACGAGAGGAGATATGACAGAATACACGCGCCATGGAACCACGCTTGACGCAAGGGGTGAGGTCATTGAACGGTCCTGGCGCACGCCGCCGCCCTTTTTAGGGGTCCAATCCCTCCCTGGCTTTCTATTGCTCAACAGACCTCATGCTCTCTGAGAATATTGAGCTGGGACTATTCTCGTGAATGGCGGTGGTTTGAGCGTTCGTTTACTCCTTGTGGTACCTAGCTCGATTCTCGAGACCACCACCCGCGCTGAGATGGACGGGCGGTGTGGTGTGGGATTTGGTGATCTGCAGTACGGGATCCAATAACGTACTGACGGCCATCCGAAGGCGCCGTGACGAGACACTGGCACGCCTGGTCGTCCGTCCCAGGACCGCTGCAGATCGCTTATGCCATCGATCTTCTAGGTACCAAGAAAG